ACAAGCAATAATAATAAAAGAGAAGAAAAATAAAAGTAAGTGAATAAAGTGGATAGATAAGGTGTTTACAATAATCATATATGAGCCAGAAGAATAATATCAAACAGAAAAAAGAAAAAAAGTTAGTTATCTGTAGAATTGTATAACTTGACAGCATGGAAAAATGTGAAGCTTTTCTGGAAAAGGGATTTGTAGTGGACTGGCACCGTAAAATTTAGGTTATGTCTGAGATTTCTCAGATTAATGTTACCTCTTGGAACCAGCTTTTCCAAAATGTACGGTGGCTTTTTTGTGCGAACTACTTTATGGACAAACACCTTTATAGTATAAACACACTCTAATTCCATCTTTAACCAATTTAAACATTTGGAAAGTTCTTAGCGGAATATCAGGTACTCCAATGTACTTCAGCTTACTGAACATGATTTTGTGATTATATGTATCAAACGCCTTTGAGAAATCAATCATAACTAATATGGTATTAATATGTCTCTCTAAGTCATCTACGATGCTGTCATTTAGATGGAGCAAAGCTGAAGTAGTGCTATGGCCCGCCCGAAATCCTGATTGATGAAGAGGAAACAAGCCATTTTGCTCTAAATATTCCACTAGTTTAATGTACGCTACTTTCTCAAATACCTTAGAACAAAAGCACAGCATACTTACAGGCCGCAAATGATTGACTGATTGGATTTTTGCTAAACGGAAGATAATAGCTTCCTTTCAAGCCCCAGGAAAAGTCCCACATGGCTATTATGTAAAAAACCTATAAAACGTCAAAAAGAAAACAACAACAAAATGTCATCTTGCACCCTAGGTAGCCTCGCCTGCAAATAGTTCATTCCACGTTTGCTCGATCTGATCGCTGTATATGTTTTGTGAAGTCGAGTAGTCTACAGTGTTTATCTCTGAAATGTAAAAAGAAAGAAAGTTGGTTGAATAGCATGATCGCATCTGAACGACTATGCGTATTGGCCTGCATATGTCATGTCAAATCAGTTTATACATATGTATATATGCTGCCAATGAAGTATATCTATAAGCTGAGCCCGACGGGTTATTTATTTGTTGTCCTTCCTGAAGACAGATTATTTTATAAATTCGCCACCTCGCCCTCAATGTGTGCAATTGAGTCAATCACGGAAAAATTAGGATTGACGCAGCACACATTAAAAATTTTCGCAGTACCTCACATTTAGGCGCTGATTTGTATTTTCTATTGACATCGCACAATAAATCTCTATAAAATTTAAATGACTGGAAATAAAAAATTATGTAAACCTTTTTTTCACTTTCATAAATATTTCTGTCTGTAGCATATTTTCTCACCTCTTCCTTCACTAATCAGGGATTTTCTTTTCTTATCAATCTCATTTTTGAAATTCAGCAAATTTGCATATGAATTTTCCAGAATGAATCAGAAAAAGTGGATGCGCAACTAATTTCTAGCGTTGAATCTCAAGTAAGTGTATTTGAGACAAGAAACCAATGGAATCATCATCCATATATATGTATTATTAGCACACAAATCCTCACTATGCACCTATGCACCGCCATTTCCTTCCAGGTATAGTATACAACTTACAGCTTAGATCTCCAATAATACCATCCTTGAAGCAGATTTTGCATCACATCAGAGCCAATCATTGATAACTGAAGTATCATGAACGTTTAGGCAACACGTACACCTACAAAACAAGTTAGCAACAAATGTCCATCAGTTAGTGCTAAGTTAACATCTTGTAGAAAAACCTACATAATGTCACAAAAAACCAATATAAGTTCAAAAAAATCGACATGATGTCACTTTTCAAGATACGTAATACCTGCGCCGGTCTCAAGGCACATATTAAAAATTTATGTTAAGTACAATGTAGCATGTTTAAGTTTTGTAACCTTTCTGGAAAATACGTCTTTGGAGGTCAGCAAAGTAGAACTCCGTGGTAGCAATAACCTCCTCATTCTATTGCCCGGGGAGTGACTTTTTCCAGTTTGGAAACAAAAAGAAGTCAAATCTGGAGAATACGATGGATCGGGTAGCAGTTCGTAGCCTAATTCGACCAATTTGGCCGTTGGCCGTCAAATGGGGCTGGTTTTTCTGCAATTCGGCGTCGAATCGGCCCAAAAATTCGGCAGAGTAGAGCCCTTTGACCGCTTTGCCCTTCTCCAGGTAGTCGATGTAGATCACACCTTGTGAATCCCAGAAAATGGAGGCCATCACCTTCCCGGCCGATAGGACAGCTTTCGCATCCTTTGGTGGACGTTTGCCGGGTGAAGTCCACCGTTTCGACTGTTCCTTGGTCTCTGGTGTGCACCAGTGGATCCATGTTTTGTCGACGGTCACGAAACGATGCAGAAACAGAAACTGGATAGCCCTAAACAGCGTCAAACACTGCACAGCGCCAAACAGTGGTCTTTCGGTTGCGCTTGCCGTCCGGCGTCAGCAAGCGCGGCACCCATCACGCAGACATTTCTCTCATGCTCAACATTTCATGCACGATATGACCCACGCGGTCTTTTGAGATGCCTACTGTCGTAACTATTTCGCGCACCTCCAATCCGGGGGCTGCCAGTACGAGATCATGGATTTTTGTCACGATATCTTGCGTGGTCGCTATCGAAGGAGAGTCACCTTACACAGCATCCAATCGCTCTTTGATTTCGATACGCAATTCCCCTTCCAAAAACAAGAATCGAATCACCGACCGATATTGGTCTTTTTCCATTTTTGTGAAATTCGAGGACACGCCCACTTCCACACGTGATCAAAACAAAAATACGAGTACGATTCGCCCGAAATTTTGAAAGTAGCCGTCTACGAGACTATACTACACGTTAGTAAATTTCTCTTGCGATAGTGGCGCCATCGGGCGGTGAGGTTAAGTACTTGACGGACCGTCGTCGTATTTGCGTTGTGTTACGGAATTAAGTAAGACCTGTAAGTATGGCAAATTATTTGTGGTTTGCAGACTTATAAGACTTGTAGTGTTTGTTTTGAAGGCCTCAGGTAATAGGCGACCTTAGATCGGAAAAGCCAACTTTCTTAAATATTTCACAACTATCAGTCACTAACAAGTCAAATGAGACGTCCTTACGAGAATGGAGCATCAAGCAAAGATTATGCATTTGGCACTTAGCCATTTATCAAATATTCATTTCTTGAATCTAGTGGAGGACGCCCACGAGGACCAAGCAGAAACCTCACCTTTTTCATGGAACCTTCAAGCAAAAAAGTTGGCCGTTCTCGTCGCGAAAAATTCGAACAGCAAAAAATACTGAAAGTGCTCGTCGCAAGGATGAAGGTGGGGCCTCGCCCTAAAACTTATTTTCTCGTATTATTTCAATCTTCATAATCACGGGCGGATAGTTTTAACAGGGAGATAGGATCTCTGGGGACGAAATAGTGGTTTTGAATAAATTTTGTCCTTCAGACAGCCCCAGTACATTTTTGTTTCACCGCAGATGGTCAAAGTTGAGGTAAAAAATATCAGAAGGTTATAAAAATTGTCCTTATTTTATCATACTCCTTAATATATTTTAACTACATTGCACTTGAATATGATAAAGCAACTATCTAGAAGTATTTTGTTGAAGAAATGGACAAAGTATAACTTTCTTTGTACATGCAGCTAAAGACCACAGATGAAAAGGTTCGTTTTTTTTTAAATTTAAGGAAAAATTCAATATCTCAAAAACGCTGACACTTTTATATAGGTAAGTTTTTGTTATTTGGGAGGTCAGTTCAAAGCCTACCTTCTCCTTAAGTTTGTCGTGGTACTTATTGGACACCCTGTATAATCACTGCCTCTTTGTGGACATATCCCATCAAGCTTGAAAGATAAGTACTTTGGAAGTTTGTTGAGTCCTTTCGATACATGTTATATAGATGTTGTAAATTGGGTTCCATATTAGTGATCAGTATTCTGATTTCGTCATGATTAGACTAGAATACAATAAAGATAGCGCCGACCGGTCAGTGAAATGCTTGCAGTTTCTTATGATGAAACTATACGAGTATGATCCGAAAACATTCATAACAATTTGATTTTGGAGATATTTAAATGCAGATAGTTTCTAAGACACCAGTCGTGTAAAACGTCGATCTGGGATTACATGGCATGTATTTTTAGATCACCTGCAAACAATTCATTGCATTCCAGTGCATAGGTCATTCACAAATAACAAAAATAACAGAGGACCCAAAATAGACCCCTGTGCTACACCACTACTAGAAACATAGAAATGAAATATTACCATCTCTGATAGAGATTTCAGAAAGCTTAAGAAAGAACTATGAAGGCATAAAGACAAAAGTTTATGGAGCATAATACTGTGACATATTTTATCAAATGCTTTAGAGAAATCAACGTAAACAGTATCTACCTGACCCTGTTGATCTACTGTTTGGCACAAATATTGGTCGAATAGTGCAAGATTACTAATCTGATCGAGAACGTGCCGTGCTGGTAAACTAAAATTAATAGCTTTTGGCACTTTCATAAAGACAGTATTGTAAAATTATTTCTAAGAGCTTCGCCGGATTACACAGACTTGAAATTAGTCTGTAGTTGCTTATAACATTTAACTGTTGTGACTCGTGTGTAGAGCACATCTTGGCGATCTACCATACTTCTGGGAACATTAATTACGCTTCTTCACAAAACAATGGCGTTTGAATTTTTGTAATTGGATATGTGTCCTTTATTATTGGGTCACCCGGTACATTCACCATACCTGTACGTAATATCATTTCATTCGTTTTCTGTCCATTGCTGCCACTGGATCGGTTTTCATAACCTATAAAGCTTTTTCGCCCTTGGAATAGCAGTAACTTTGTGTCAAAATTCCATCAAAACCCGAGCGGCGCTTTCCGGGTTAAAGACGGACCAAAGATTAACAGACAGAGGACATACTGACTGAAATCAGTGACATGGTCTTTAGTGATACGCTTTCAAAATAAGCAACGATATTTCTTACGGTTATAAATCTTTTTTTTGCAGAGGCAGTCATTGACCTATGTAAAGATGCTGTGATTGAAACTACCTCCGCTGCACTCAAGCGGCCCTCGGCTTCAATGAAGCATCCGGAAAAGAAAATTTGCTTGCAAAGATCCAGCGTTATCCAGGATACTAGCCAAGTCGCCATGTGTGTGGAAGAAGGGTTAAAGGGTTTCGACAATAATGTGGATCAAGGTGTGACTTCCTGAATTTTCAGTGTTGTTGACCTTCATTCAATAATAATTTATTGGTCTCTGCGCTTCTCGCACAATGAACCAGCTCAATTGAAGTCTGAAAACATACCATAGACCAGTGATGGCGACCTATTTTTGGCCACACGCATTTTCAAACATAAATATTTTCATAATCCAAATATTTGTCATAAGGGACTATAACATATAAGTGTTTTCCTAGAATGAAAACATATTTCGAAAAGACAACAAAACCGTGTGAAATAGAGTCCATACTCCTGTACCAGAATATAACAAACTTATTAAATCAAAAGTTCAGTAAAAGATCCAACCAGTTCAGAAGCCTAGATTAGAGAACTAAAGTAATCAAGTATCCTCATGCAGTTGGTTACAATACTTTGGACTTGAAGGGTTTTATATACATATTTATATATTATAAACATACGAGTACTAACCCATAAAAGAAAAACGAAAATTTTGGAAAAGTCTTAGCTCGATACACTTGACTCAGCGATGCTCCAACTTCTTTAAACAGCTTGGAAAATATACTCAGAGAAGTGTTACATCCATAAAAATAATACATTCAACTTGTTTTTTTTTTGGCAACATAATGACTATATTAAAGCATGCTGTGGCAAAAATGTCAATCTTTGTTTTTGTTTACCTTCGTTGAAATATTATCTCTTAGTTTTTGTTAAGAAATCAGTTTTTGAGAGCTGAGTAGTTCAGATATTTTTAGTTATTGCCCCTTCATTTGCTAGTGTTAAGCATAACTAAATGCCTTGACTTTTCCGGGGTAGAATTATTGCCTGTCGAGATGTTGGTTTGTCCTATCGCGAAATTGGCCGCTGTGTTAATTGTACTGCAATGACGCTAATGCGTTTGTGTAGTATGTGGATAGGAGTAGAGGAACGTCAAGAATGCCAGCTGGTCCACGGAGGCGTATCACAGAGCGTCAAGATAGGCGCTTCAGACTACTCGTCCTACGAGACCGTTTTACTTCTATGCGTCAGATCGCTAACCAATAGTTTGGAGAAGACGGGAGACCTGTTACTATGCGTACACTCTATCGCCACATTCGAGCCTTTAGAACTTTTTCATACCGTCCACGGTTAGTGCTTCCTTTGACTGCTGGCCATTGTCGTCAACGTTTGAGCTGGAGCAGAGGACGGCAACATTGGGAGGCCAGAATGGCATAATACCATCTTCATCAATGAATCGTGATTTTGTCTAGGTACGCACGATGGTCGTAGAAGGGTAAGACGCCACCGTGGAGAACGGCCTGATATTGGATTTGCTGTTGAGAGGCACTGTTGGAGTAATGGTTTAGAGAGATGTTGCCTATGATAGCCGATCACCCCTTGTCTTTGTTCAAGGCAACATGACTGGTGCGCTTATGTTGATAATGTCCTACAAACCACCTTACTGCAGTGTCTAGAGGTCCGTCCACACATCCTTTTTCAGCAAGACAACGCACGTCCCCATATTGATCGTCGTACTACGGACTTTCTTCAAGAAGCCGCACTTTGCACCATCCGCCACAGCTAATACTCACACAGCGTTCGAGTTGCTTGGAATGACATCGATCATCTGATTTTGTCGATGCTTAGACGTATACAGGAGTGTATTCAGCTGCGGGGTCGTTTTTCTTATTACTTGTAAATAAAATTTCGTGAGAATGTTATCGTTTTATTCTCAATGCAAAACTACCTCATTGCCAAAAAGTCAACTTGATGAAATTATGTTTTCGGCGTGTAACATTTTCAATGTCACTGAGTATACGTTCTCTGGAGGTTTGCAAAGTAGGCCTCCTTGGCGGCGATAACCTCATTTGACTGAAGTTTCTGCCTGGCGAGTGACTTTCAAGTTTGGGAACAAAAATAAGTCGCACGGGACCAGTTAAGCGTCTTCCTCAAATGATCCCGTTTTTTTCTGTAATTCGGCATCGAATCGGTCCAATAATGCAGCACACTCTTCTCCTTCTCCGAAGCACGTTCGCCGGGTGAAGTTCACTATTTTGACTGTTCCTTGGTCTCTGGTGTGTGCGAGTGGATCCATGTTTCGGCGAAGGTCCCGAAACGTCGCAAAAACTTCTTCGGATTGCGGTTAAACAGCGTCAAACACTGCTCTGAAGTGAACTCAGGGTTGCGCATGTTGCTCTCGTATATAATTAGAAAACAAAAATAAATGAAAACAGAAGAGACACAATATTAATTTTATAAATATTTTTCTGTTTTTTTTTTAATTATACTATTTGATTTTATATGTTGTGTCAACGAAACATTTAAAACATGTTTTTAAATGGAAATGATTGGTTTCATAATCTTGGCTGTTGTATTTTAAATGCCTTTAAACAAATAATTAACTTACAGAAATGATAAATATTTCTAATTTTTCTAGTCTGTACTTTTGTGATGTGTGACATGACACGGAAGTTATGTCTAGATTTTTCGAAATTTTTACGCAGCGAACTCAAAAGGTTCGCTATCACTGCCATAGACACTGATTTTTACTTATCTTAACAGACACAAAATACACTCAATTATCTAGATCATCAGCCTATCATGAGTTCAAACAAGACAAGTTGCAAAAGAGATCGTTTATGTACAATAAAAATAGAAGGAAACCTAAGTTGGAACCTTGCGGTACAAAACCATTGTAAAAAACGTATTGCGACATACTTTCAAGATATAGAATATCATAATCTATCTTGTCAAGTAGCAAATTAAAGTTTCAGATGGTGAAATTGATGAGTGAATACCGCGTGCCATCTTGAAACCTTGTTTTATGGAATGGGCGTCATGTGATACCTTATCTTGAAGCCCCTTATCAGTACTTTATAGCTTTAGACATTTCGAGACATTTGTAGATCACAACCTTGTCAATTTGCTAATTATATGAGCCTGTCTGACTGACTTGGTTCATTAAATGTTTTTGTTTTATATATCCTCGTACCTAACTTTTTCCCCACAGAGGCTTATCTGTTCTTTGTGTGAACACAGAGTCAACCTACTTCACGGAGTTATATTTGGAAGGGTCTGAATGTGCAAGAAAATATGAAACATTTCTTTTAAGGAATTGCCACATTTTTGTACACATGTACATCAATAAAAAAATGCTTGCAATGCAATTGTTGCCTTAGCCAAGGTAGACATGATGAGATAAATTAATATAACTACTTAGCTATATTCTAGACAATTACCAGTAAAGTTCTGCTCTATTAACTGCAATTATTAATTTTACAGCGAAGCTTTCAAAGGTGAGACCAAAACTGAGGATAGTTCGAGGACAAACATATGTAAGTTTCAGAATCCTTACTCTTGAGTTTATCTTTTAGGAGGTTTAGAATGTAGAAACATTTCGTTCGCTGAATCATGTGTGGCACTGAGCTACTGTTGCTTTAATGAACTGCGATGTTATATTTTTGAAGTATGGACTGAAATGGTTTGCTATATCCAGTGGTTCAGCTATAATAGCTTCATCTACTTTTAAGAAGTATTGTTGTTTCTTTTTGAGTTATTTTAGAAATTGCGTTCCAAGTCGCGTTACTGAGGTTTATCGATTGGAAAATTTTGTATTGATAGTAAGTCCTCTTGGCTGAAGCCACCGATTCTGGAGCATTTTCTTCACTCGAAGATATTATCGCATACAGCTTCCAGTCTACAGTTTTCATGCCCTACAAACAATGTCTGAAAATGAGCACGAATATCTGAAAGGTTGTAACATTATTGTTGACTGTAAGCGCGTTCAGATATGATTAAGGTAATAAGGTAATCGACACCCAAGCCATACAAAGATAATTTAGGATTGCCACGTACGTTCTTGTCGCCTGGTCTGGAGGAGCTCCTCTCTCTTCACAGCTTCTTATTAGGTTCACCACACTTGCTTTAGCGAATATATTGTACCCGGTTGAACTAGGGTTCCTTTGTCGAGGTTTTGAAGACGACCAATGCCTTTTCCGATCATTACGAATTGACTTCACGAAAATCTTCTTCTTCTTGTGCGCATGTTTGACTTGGATGCACACGTGCCAAAGGGTTTGAATTTGTATGGCTTTTGAGTTCAAAATAATAAAGTATGTTTCAGAACTTGCATGATCATTTCCTCCCACTTAAAACGGAGTTTTATATAAAGATTATTCAGTACAAGATAATGACAACAAACAATCGAAAATATAGGATTTGAATTAAATGAATTATTGAATTGATTTAACTTTATACAAAATAGAATGTAAGGGTTTTGACAAAATACAAAGTATCGAAAACATATGATTTGATATAATGAATGATTAGATATAAATATGTATACGAGTAGACGAAGAATGGGATTGAATTGAATAAATGAGTATTTGTAACTCAGTGGTTACAAAAAAAAAAACAAATCGAAAACACACACACGACGGAATTAAGGAAAATTATGTTATATGATTAAATATTATTTCACTATGGGTAAAGGGCAAAGCTTTACCACCGGCCGCGTGAGAAGCCCATGTTGTGTTCTTAGTGTAACAACCCCGACATGATATTTACGACCAGGATGAACTTCCATAAGCGTCCCAACAACCAACGCAGTGGAGGCGTTGACTCGTCTTTGATTATTATTGTAATCTCTGAATGAGTTACCAACGACTAAGACTGTTTTGTTTAAGGGATGATAAATCAGGATTTGGGCATGAATTTAAAGGTTCTGTGGTTAAGAAATGCTCTGGGGTTAATGGTGCTAAATCATTGGGGTCTGAACTTTGTTCACAAAGGGGGCGAGAATTTAGTAATGCTTCTATTTGAGTGAGAAGGGTATACAGTTCTTCTTCGAAGGTCTGCGATGACTCGATATAAATGGGTTTTAGTGGATTTAACTGCCGGTTTGGCTAAACTGTTAAGATGGGGAGCTCCTGGACTATTTAAATTTTATTTGATTTTTAGGCTTTCGGTCACAGACTTAAAGAAATTTTGAAGCTCTCTAATAGCCCGACAAGATTTGTACCCTGATCACTTGTGATCTGTACACAAGTGCCCCGT